TTAAAATTCCAATCATGTTTAAATGTGTCCCATTTAAGAATGGACAAAAGGATTGCCAAAAATTGCACTATAAGAGTGGCAGCTTTTATCTCAAAAAGAGTTGCCTATGTCTTCTTTTCAAAGAAAACATATACTCTCATCGAAACTATGTACATCCTTGGAGATTCAACAGCTTGATTCTATACGAATTCTGGCCTTTGTGCAGGTTAAAGGAGATTGTTTTTAATGGAGCCATTGATTTGAATTACTAATTTTGTACTTAACTACTTATGCAACTAATTACGGGAATGTTTTAATGACTGTATTATTATAATTATTTAAGTACCAAAAATTACCATTTTATTCCATTTTCTAATAATCTTAAGATGTAGCACCAGTTCAAAAGAAGGTTTTCAAGAGGGTGGTCAAAAATATTTGCTTCACTATTTCGCAAATAAATTCTTAAATATGTCCTCAGAATAGAACGCATTTCGTTTATAAAGAACAATTTGTGCTTCTTTAGATGTGAAATCTGATGATCCCTTTGCTATATATAAATACATATGTATTTAGTATTTAATAAACTCATATTTCTACATAAATTTGGTTTTGTTTGGATGGTGCAGTTTTCGACTCCTATTTAAAATCATATTCAAGCTTTCAAACTACTTTGATCAAACTCTGATCAGATTTTATTCACAAATTATTACAAATTTCTGTTTTATCTAATTAATGAACACAATAATAATTGTGAAAAATTATACAAGTACTTGTATGCATATAATTTCATCGACACTGCCTCGAGCAGCCACAAGGTTTTCAAGAGTTTGTTTGACTTAAGCCTAAAAGTGGCCAGCGAGTGTAGTTAAGAGATGAATTTATTTAGGCAGTGCTAGTACGACCGACCCTCGTTTGGGCCCGCATTAAGCCTCAGTTGCTGCTATTTTTGAATTTACAACTACGCATTTTTTTAGCGCCCTTTGGAGTGGCAGCGGCAGCGGCAGTGGCAGCAATGCGTGCATTTTGTTTAGTGGCTACTTGACCTCTACAATGCTCAGGGTCCGTCCGCACTTCAGGTCTCGAGCTGTAAGCACTTCGAGCTGACGCTGAAGCTGTAGCTGTAGCTGTGGGTATGGCTTTGGCTTTGGCTTCAGTTTCAGCTTCAGCTTCAGTTGTTAAAGTTCAGTTGAGTAAGTTATTGACAGCAGAGGTAGCGGAGGCAGCGATATTCTGAAAATTGTTTATGCTTATGTAAGTAATCAAGTAATCAAGTTGGCGAGCTGCTGACCTTGTCTACCCGAAGCGCTTAAATTGTTTGCTCAACTCTGGGCTCTCAAGATGTGGCCAGTGAATTGTGCAAGATGTTTATCAGTTAATGCAAACTACAGTAAACATACAAGTATATATGAGTACTATATAGCAATACTGTATAGCCATGTATGTTACGAACCTGCGCCAATTGTGCGTGCGGCGTGTCTCAAGCTTTCACTCCCGAAACAGAAGCAACAAAGTTCAACGTTATGCTCTAGAAATCAAGACAAATTATTATCGCCAGATATGAATAGGCGAAAAATTTAGGAGAAATTACATGTATATGCGGCACTGAAATCGCTGCCCCATCTTCTCCAATAAATAAAATCTGTTGTTGCCCCGACTCTTGAACCTAGTGGTCCCTTATTTTAGAGCCAGCTCTGTCAACTCTAGTGACACTGCCACTGCCACTGATTGTTGTAAAAAGCGAGCATTCGCTTGCACAGTGGTCTAACTTGTTTTATGCTTTTAACCCAATTACCCGGCACAGTTGTTGTTGCTACTAGTTGGTCGCTGCCTTGCGCCCAATTTCATGAATGAGTAACCAAATGAAAATGGCTTTACAACAAGCCCGTTGTTTGTTCTTTACCGTTCAAGTGCTTTTCACACACACACACACACACACAGGCAGGCACACATGTCGCATGATTGACAACATTAGGTTGCTAATTAGCGCCTACGATCAATATTTCATTGCTTGCTGTTAATATATCTTACACGCATACGATATATATATATATGTATGTATATATATTTGTATCTACACTTTGGGGAATATTGAAGAATTTCGAATGCCTAACTAACTAGTGACAAATGTCCAACTTAAATATTCTTGATGGAAGTAAATACATATTTTTATTTGTCAGTTTGAAAAAGTGTATGCTAGAACTAAAGTAATTTATTTTCGGCTTGATAAGGGACTAAAACAAAATATAACAGTCATCTAAGAAATTTGACGCGAGTTGCATTTACGATAAATATAATTTTTGTTTAAATCCACATTCAATTATATTCATATATTAATTTTTTGATAACATGCCCTAGAGTTCTATCATATCATAAATTCTATTTCAATTCGACTTCAAAAGACATTTTTAAGTACAAGCCAAAATAAGTCTATGTATTTACTTGCATTCGACTTAAATATTAGAAAAGTTTCTGTCAGTGTGGCATTCATGCGAGAGCTAGAATTTCTCATTCATTGTCTACTATAGTATAAGTGGAATCAATATATACTCGTACATAAATGTTCAATGTTGGAAAGATTTTGCGGCCTGCTAGATAATCATAGTCGTAAGTCGTAGGTGAATTATTTGTCATTAGCATGGCGTTGAGTATATAGTAGTACGTGCGGGTCATTTGCCTATTAATGTCAAGTTCGAAATGTGAATTTGTCGACAAATTGCACAATAAATGCTCGGGGATGCAAATTGTTTGCACACAAGTATACAAGTATGCAAGCGAATGAAATTTTAATGGCCCATTTTCTCATTGTTTGCAGTGCAACAATAAAAAAGACTGCAATAATAATAAGCGCGCGACCAACAATTATTCGCACTCATACTCACAAATGACTACAAAGACACACACTCATACTTGTACATAAATATATCTATGAACATATATGTAGTGAATAAGTATGTACACAATAAAAAGCCAACTATATATTGATCAACAATTTAATTCAATTCCTTTGCCATATAAGCAATTTCTCATTAATTTGTTATTAGTTTGTTATTAGATTATTAAATGTGTCAAATTATTTGAAAAATAAAAATTGCACAAATAAGCGATAGACAAGTTTAGATTTTAGTACAAAAATATTTTCTCAGAAGAACAGAAACTTAGAATACTTAGAAAGTAGAAGGGCAGAGAATTATTTCAATTTAATTTTGTAATGGCAGAATACCAAATACTTTTTTATGTTAATGATAAAATGAAATACATATTTTGTAGATTTTCATTTTAAAAATATTACTTTTATGCATAGTATTTCAAAATATATTTATATTTTTCTTTTACAAGTCAGTATAACATTTGAAATAACGGAATTAAATTATATTTGCAACATTTTAAAATAAATAGCTAAATGTTTAAGTATTTCAATAATTTTATAAAACAACACTTTTCGAAACGTTTATTAAAGCTTTTCTAGTTTTAACTGCACCGTTTTAATAAATTAGTCTAGTGCTGCTGTTTCTGTGTAATTAAATAAGAATAGTGACTACATATTTAAGTACTCGTATTTACTAGAAGTAGTACTAATCGTACTTACTTTTATTGTCTATATCCAAAGGGTAAGACCTGTGTATTGGGTCTAAAGGCCCCAATATAGTATAAGTAACAGACAGAATAATACGTGGCAGATCCCATGTTCTAGAGATCAGGGGGGACGTATCGATATAGACATGTCCGCCTGTCCGTTCGTATGAACACCAAGAACTTTTGACACTTTTGTGTTCTTCATGCGCATATCAAATGTGTCACAAACCACATATAGCCTTACTATATTATCTGGTTCTTTTCGAGTTGTGTCATTTAAATCTATTCCCTATATCATATTCCTGTCACAGAATTGAAAAGAAACGAACAAATTAAGCAAATTATGTATTATAATCGTTCATAAATACATACTCACCTATTATGTAAATAATACATATGTATAAATAGCTAGGTTTAGGGATAATAATTGTGATACTTGTAGAACATAATTAAGAGCTTCAACTGTACGGGCGGCTGGTGGATAGGAGATTGAAAATTTACATGCTAATTACCTAATTATTTTTTTCTGCGTGCATAGTTGCTTGTGAAATGCAGTCAATGACCCAGAATTCGAATTGGATATAGACATTTGTATAAACGTACTTATGTATGAGTGTTGCAACGGTGCATGCAGGTAATGGAGAGGTAGTTTGCCACTCGGCTGGACAATTGAGCGACACATTGTAATTTCAAATGCAAACCTACTGATTGTTTGTTTCATTCATCACCGCCCCGAGCTGTGTGTGGCTGTGTGTGTGTGCGTTTATTAATTTGACTGCACAGCAGATTGTGTGTGTGTGCGTGTGTATGGTTGTATGATTTTAATTCATTTCGTAGCTAAATCGAAACTTTTTAACCTTTGACGCGCAAAGTTCGCGAGCAAGTGCAAAATAATTGAGCGGAGCCAGCAGCTGCTTGCTGCTTGCTGCTTGCTCAGAAATGATTATTATTTATTGTTAGAGATCACTACAGTTGTCAACAACACATGTATATAATCGTCTTTATGTGTGTATGTATGTATGTGTATATAAATGGGTGTACACATATCTGTGTTCAATAACATATTGTACACACATCATGTTAATTGAATTTGAGTTTAGCGCTCGGACTTGCGTGAGTCGCGTTTGCTGGAAATGTCGTCTCGAATCACACACAATTAAATATCAGATACTGCCCCTGGCCCTGTCCCAGCCCCTGACAATGATAAGCAACCAAACTGACAAATTGACGCATTGAGAGCAAGTCAGTGGCGAGTCTTTCATTTTTGGATTTGTCTGTGGGTTATTTATTTTATTTACTCATCTATGTGTCATAAGGAAGAGGGATTGATGAATGGCGCCGGTCTGGGTGTGACAAAAATTAGCACCAGACTGCCTGTTCCAGTTTAATAATTTTTACTTTCTTAAATTATGAGTAGTATGTATTAAAATTGTTGTTCTATATTTCAGGCGATTTCCTATCACATCCTACGTTCAAGCCACTCTGTAGTGCTCAGCACGAGCACTTTATCGAGAGTGAAGGCAAGGAATCTAGTCTCATCATCGAACTGAAGCCGGGCGCCTACGGTGCTCAGCACAAGTCCTGCTCACGCATCCTGAGCGCACCAGCCCAATATGGTTTCATAGTGCGTCTAATTTTGCCAAAACTGCGCCATCACCAGTCCCACACCCAGTCCCAGATTCCGTCCAGCGCAGGCAGCGGCGAAAGCAGCATCTCCAGCAACATAATGCCCGCCGGCATCACGACAAAACCCAGACAAGGGTCCAGCGGTGCCTCAGCCCTCAGTGAAATGACGACGCTCATTGAGCGCCTCAATGCGACGACGACGACGACGACATCATCGGCATCATCACTGAAGACCATTCAGGGTCGCACCTGCCCGCTGAACATTGTAAGTGTCTGCAACACCCGCACCCCATTTGTCTCGACTCTAATTGAATTAAAGTGGTCGGAGGGCGAAGCGTGCAAGGAGCGTTCACCTAGACATGTGAGGGTTCTGCTGTGCTCGTAATTAGTGTGCGTTTGCCATTTTCCACACCTTCCGTTTGGGCTTTGCTGATTTGCCATTCTGCTATTCTTTGATATTTATTTTCTTTTTTTAGGCAAGCACGACTTGGCAAAGTCTGTTAGGCATTCGTGCTTGGCGTGACAACAGCCATTTTTTTTTTTTTTTTTTTTTTTTTTTTTGACAACGTGTTCTTAAACAATGCATTCCAAAGACTCGGTTTACACCCCAATCGATCGATTCGTTTATGATTTTTCATAACATATGTTTATAGTTTTAAATGTTGTCCCATGTTGTTGTTATTTTAAAGCTATTATTTATTTTCATATTTCAATTATTTTATTTATTTTCTTAGACTATTATAATTGGGAGTATTTGAAGTACTTGACTGTACATTATTATTTCTATTCAATTTGATAATTCTACTTAATAATTTTTTTTTAAGTTTAATCAAAGCATTGAAGCCGTGCATTCAGATTAGCACCTTAACAATACATTTTTACAAATATAAAATAGCCCAACCTCGAGCACTTCCGCGCGAGGGTTAATAAGTTAGTGGTGGCTTATGCTTATCTAAATGTTTTGAAAAAACCTAATGGTTTCAGTCTTCGCAAAGGTCTAGCAGGAAGGAGTCCTCTTGCAAGCAAACTGCGGTGACTCAGAAGCCTGTCACTGTATCTACTTGTATGCCTTCCAATAATTTGTTTATTTAATAATCGCAAGTTTTTATTCATTGTCTTATCTCTTTTCATTCTCCTACTCATTTATTTGATTAGTGGGTTTTACTTGTTTTTTTTTTTATTAATTTGTTTTCAATAATGGTAGTTTTTTATTTATTTATTGTTTTCTATTAAATTCATGATTTTTATGGACATTTTGCACTTTACAATTTCTTTAGTCGTTTATTTCATTCTTTAAAAAACATAATTTCTAATATTAAAATCTTTAATCTCGAGTAAATATCTATCCTGCGTTGTACAATTATTAAATTTTATGATAACTTTGAAATTTTAATCATTTCTCTGTCATGAGTGCGGCACGATTCGAACCGAGTGCCTACTTAGGAACGAACTCACATTGTGGTATTCTTGCTAGCTCGATTAAATTTAAATGGAGCGTTTGTTTAGATAAGAACACATCATTTTATTATTTGGTTGTCACAACTGTCAATGTCAGCTGTGTTTAATTTCTATTCCATTTTCTTGATTACTCACATACGCGGGCTAATTATAAAGTCATGTTTTGTATTTTTTTTTTACAAATTATTTAACAAAGAAGTTCGCTTCAATTTTGTGCCAAGAATGGAATTTCTGCAATCGAAGCGTTAAGAATGTTGCAGAGGGCTTTTGATGGCAAAGAATGTACCAAGAGGGTCGAGAAAGCGTTGAAGACAAACCACAGCCAAGACATCATCGTTAAGTAAATCAAAGAATTGGTGCTTCAAAATAGTGGATTGACAACTAAAAATATTGCTGAGGCTGTTGGCATTTCTAATGGATGAGTCCACACCATTTTAAGATACCCTTTGTGCCTCGTTTGGTTTCAGAAATAATGCACCACTGGACTCGTTTTGGGTTACCATTCCGATTACTGTGAAGACTATAAAATAGCTTTACTGAATAGAGGCAGATTTTGCAAGCTATAACCATAATACCGGGTCGTATTTGTACGCAGTAAAAAGTGCATTTCATCTTCTACATCACACAAACTCTATATACTTTTAAATTTCACGCACAGTTCGTTCAGAATGTATCTGCCAATAGACTCTAAATTGAAGTGAAGGGCCACTCAAGTTCGGGGAATCATTTTCTATTCCTACACATTGCTTTCCTTCTCAAATTGATGTGGTATTACTTTTCCATAAACCTGAGCCAGTTTCAAACTTGGCATTGTATTCAGAGTGGCGTTTGTTGTCTTGTGGTTTTCAATGGTTATTTCGTCATGCTGTCAGCTTAGTCATTGAGAGACTTAGGTTACGGAGTGGTGGTCGTCACTGTTTTCTTGACAAACTGGAAGTGTAATTAGCAGGAATTAAGTGTAAAAAAGTCAGTTGATAGTCTTCAGCATGACACCTATTAATGTAATTATTTAGAATTTGAATTGGCATTGAACTTGATGAGATGCCAAGTTCTACACGTGGAGGAATATCATGACAGACATATGGTGACGAGACGGGCCCATCTATGGCACACATTTCTCGTTCAGGTAGAGCCCGCAGCCCATTTGCATAAGCGCGTCCAGCCAGCCAATTCATAGCTTGAGGCGTGTTCGGGCTATTTTTTTGTATTTGAAACACGTTTGTCGCATTCGGCATGGAAAACCAAACGAACCCTCCTCAATAATATGTGTCGTCGCCATCGTTGCGACTGACGGGCAGCCAACAGACTTGGACACCAGTCGTATTTGTAGATACATGTACATGTGTCGCCAATTGCAGAGGTGTGAGCGATTTTGCATGCGACTCAAGTAGCTGTGAGTTCTTTGTTCGGGCCAAGTGGGGTTTGCAAATGAAGCGGGAACACTTTATAAGTAGTTAACACATTTATCTTTTTCAAAAATTAGAGCTGAGCTGAGTAGATGATGCTTTAATGGCTCGTTGTTGACTTTTTATTTATTTATTTAACTTTTAGCAGCAGCTGCCGGAACTTTTGCACATTTAGCTTCTTATTACGACGCATTCAGGCATTCAGACAGTTATTGAACTCTTTAGCCTGTAATGAGCGCGTGCAGTTAATAAAATGTAGTAAAATATAGTACGTCCAGATTCTAGAATTAACTACCCATATCTCATTCGACAACAATAAGCCGTCCCTTTTGCTGTACGTATTGCACATTCAATGGCTTCATTGTACATTGTACGCGTATGAGTGAGTATCTTTGCCTTTGTGCTCGATAAAATGGGAAAACATTCTCGGCTGCTAAACATGTGACGGGCGTGGCTGGCGGGGAGTTCTGCTAAAACAGCTCTAGAGTCCGTTTAATTCCACATCCACAGATATTCGTTTACATACTCGTATGTACATACTTGTATATATTTTAATAGCTCAACTGTTGTTATTCTTTATTTAGCACATATTTTTCCAAGCGGTGTAAATATTGAATTTATCATAATAAGTATTTGTTTCTCATGCTAATATCGAGGCATACGCTGCCATTGTCATTTGTTAATGTGTCGACTCGCTTTTCCAATTTATAGCATTTTATTTTTTAAATAATTAATATCACGTAACCGAATGGGTGGGCTGCTGGTTACTTAGGGCTTTTCAGCATTTTCAGCATTTCAGCGTAAATCGATTGCACACGCCGTACAATTGCAAATATTTACATTTATATAGAAGCAGACTTAGCAGTTTTCGATTAACACTCACCTCTTCCCACTACTCTGCCACACACAGTTCAGTTCTTTGGATCCGCACACACCACAATGGCGCGTCGATCCCTGCCAACTGGAAGACACTGCGCCGGAAATGGAGGATCCCGTGCGTCTCTTCCACGGTCGTGTCCGCATTGTCTGGGAACATGGACAGCATTCTCTAAAATCGAAGCTGATGATCACTGTGCTGGGCAAAGGCGAGCAGTGTAAGCACGAGAGCAAACACCAATGCTTAAGAATTGGGTATGTTTAGATTATAAATAATAATATTGGAAGCATCCTATAATGGCTTAGCTCTTTTGGCAGTGATGAGCCCATTCTGTGCATATCCAAGGAGCTAGCTTGCGATGGCATACGCCATTGTCCGTATAGCAATGAGTATGATAGCGACGAGGACTACGATCTGTGCTTCAAGCATCGTCGCCCTGGTGTCTTGCCCACTGCCCTGGACTCCGATCTCTTTGAGCAGTTCGCCCTAGAGGTTTTCAGGAATTTGTTTGCCTACGATGCGCCCACAGCTCCCGAAGATTTGCCACGCAATGGCAGCGCAGCGCCGGATTCTACGTCGAGCAGTGGCGGCAGCAACAACACGACCACTACTCTGAGGAAAGTGCATACGAAGGACATGAAGAAGCCCAGCGATGGCAATGGTTCTCCCAACGCCATTGGGGAACAGGGAGAGGGGCCCAAACAGGACAATGCCACTCTGCATGCCAATGAGGGGGGCAGCGGCTTTACGCGACGCAACTCGACAAGATCGGGCCTGCACTCGGACCTCTCCAAATACGGACCCTGGGGCTACCTAATGCTGGGCATGCTGCTGTGCGGAGGTGCTTTGCTCATCTGCGGCCTCTGGGGTAAGTTGAACTGCATCCTTTTCTAGGATGTAAGACATGAACATTTATGTGCGTTTTTGTGATTGTTTTGTTTTTTGTTTGTTGCGTCATCTAACTGCATCACACATACACACACACTCCTTTGTGTTGTCCTCCACTTCTAACACTTTCATTGCTTGTCTCTTCATCGACCATCCCTCCAACAAGCAGTCGCCTGTTGCCGCTTGAGCTCTCACATTGAAACCATACGTTCACTTGCAGCATCCGCCTCCCAGCACGCTGTTAACAACGAGCGCGAAGCGGCGCTGGCCGCCGCCAATGGGGTTGGCATAGATCAGCCGAGTGTTGCATCTCCGCCCAACTACGAGGAACTGGATCCGCCACCAGCCTACTCGGTGCTCTTCCCAAATCAGAAGGCAGCATCCAGCAATACGCTCAATGCACTCGACAACACATCCGCGTTATCAACATCGTTGTCGGCCAGTGGGGCAGCAACAACAACAACTGCTGCAGCCGCGGCAGTTGCTGCAGTGGTAGCGGCAGAGCAGGCGCTTCAACAGCAACAACAACAGCAGCCACAACAGCCAGCACAGCAATAGCAAACGAACTAACTTTAAAGCTTGACGAGAAGGGCTCTGTGAGGAGGTTGCCGCCTCACTGCGCCCAGCAAAGTAGTTTAGGTTCTGACTTTTGACTGACTTTGATGAAATTAGCTTAAATCAATCAATGTAGCTATAGTGTGTAAGTGTAATTGTAATTCTAACTGTAACTGTATGTACGATATGGACCCATTCCGTCGAGGCAATTTGTCTGGATGGCGTATGCCAGCAAACGCCCTTTGCCAACATAAATCTAAACTAAACTACATATTTTAATAATGTCTCCTAATATCAACTCATGAACTGTCTAAGACAAATTATATTGAACGACTGCACTGATTGTCGTCTGACAGCAGCATTAAAGGCGACAGCTTCCAGTACGTATTTGTAAGTCGGTACATTGTATTCTTCTTAATTTAATATTTAATGTGATATAAATTTAAAACATAATAAAAACCGATAGAGTTACCTAATATACATATATTTGTGTTTATTATTTACTAAAATACGTGGTTGCTTGTGATCCAATATATAGAATTTGGTTAAAAAGCAAGAGGATTTTAAATGTAACTGGGTTCTTCATTGATTGATATCTACAATGTTATTGATTGAAATACTAGTTGGCGCTTATCAACTTCGTCTGCGTTTGTCATTTATATCGTTACTTTTCATAGCTACTATAATAAAATAATTTTCCTTTTGCAATTAAATTATCTTTGAAGGCCAAACACAGCAGGAAAGTGCTGACAAAGCTTCCGCTCAACCATTGCCGCATTTCAGTTACCTCTGATTAAAACAGCTACAAGCAAATTCTGGCCGAATCTGATATTTTTGTTGTTAAGAAGTATTTATTGCTTAAATTTTTTGATTTTATTTGACCTCCCTCATATCAAATAGCTCTCATATCATCTGAATAATCATGCCAAATATTATTTCTTGCTTCCGGCTAGCTTCTCATGTTATAAATTCTGATTAAAGACAAAAGCATATTTGCAGGAAATGCAGAAAATATGTTAGCTATATAATACACTGCATATAGGGTATAAATATCAGTAAAATAAAAATATTAATAAAATTAATCAATTCTTTTACAATGGTGTATAAAAGAGGTCAGTTGAAGTGGCTCTAGAAGGAAAAAAAACAAATTCCACACATTGTTTTCGTTACCGTTTCGGTGCGAGAACTTGCAAGTATAATTTGTTACTTAAAGCGCACGCGGATCACCTCTTAGAGAATAAACAAACAAATACTTGTAAAAACAATATTTAAAACGTAATTCAAAAGCAATTTAATGAAATAGTGCGCATGTAAATTTTTGTAGCATACTTTTGGGCTCGCGCAAAAATGGCGTCACCGCGACAATCACCATCACGTAAATAAAACTAGCAGCAGCGCTGCATAAATTACATTGAATTCAACATCATTTTTATTCAGGTAAATTAATAGGGTTTGCTCCACAACATTGTGTTTTGTTTTATGTTTTTGTTTTTGTTTTTGTAAGAGGGATTTCACATTTAAATAGCATGGAGTGCTAAACGAATTGGGTTTAGTTTGTTTGGTTGCTTGTTTATGTTTATGTTTAGTTGTTGTTTTATTTTTTGTTTTTGTTTACTTCTGCTATTTTGAGCACTCGCGCTTGGGTGCTACCTAAAAGGGCTTAGTGTTGATATATGTATACGTTGCCATTGATATCTTTGCCATTTTGCTAGGTGTTGTATTAACTACAATCGTACTAGTATGCGTGTTGTTACACCTTGCGAATGCAAGGGGTGTGATTAGATTCTCCTCCTTTCCAATTTTCCAATTCTATGCAAATTTTCTATTTGTATTTATTTAGATTTCATGCTAAACCTTATTCTTCTTCCTCGTCCTCTTATTCTTAAACATTATCATCATCATCATCATCATCTGATTCGTCTCTTTATTCTTTAGCTAATTGTTGCTCAACCATCCTCAATTTGTCTATAAGTAGAATAACAGAATTACATTTAAAAAATAGCAGTATCCATATGCATGATTTATATTTCTAAATACACCGATCCAACTGCATTCGATTGCTTTCCCAAGAGTTACTTGTAGTTCGCATAATCATATTATTTTAGTTAACAACTAGCCTTGCTTAGATTTCAACTACTCGTATGCCTTACCTATTACATAGCACTTGCCGCCCTTGTTCGGCAAGCCCTTGTATCTAACCGTAAGTTCTACTACTTAATTGCCAATTTCAGCATTTGCGTTACTCTTGTTGGGGACAACTTGCACCACGTTGGGGCGGCAAGCTGTCCGAGCAGACGTCCTTTTTAAACTTTAGATTACTTTTAAATATTCATAAGATTTGGGCGTTTTCTTGTTGATCAATTTTTTGTTTTAGCTTTACATTTACTTAATGGCTAAATGATGACAAATAGATTTGTAGAAATAAATGGTTGCTCAGTGTGATATGGTAATGTGTTTTTTGTGCTCATCTGGGTGTATGAATTTATGATGTGCATGTGTTTGTGGGTATGTGTTGGAAATTTTTCATCTGACCACTAAATTCTTGATTTTGGATTTAGTGTAGAAAATTGCTTAAAGTCTACTTGTAGGCCATAGGGTACACATATATTTATGTAGTTTCAGTTTTGTTTTTTAAAAATTATTTTTGTTTTTTTTTTTTTGTTTTCTTTGAGAACATTTGTAAGTAGAAAACGCTTTCTAATAAAATGTGTAGTTGTTATTCAAAAGTCGTTAAAAATAAATTCAAATTCAAAATCTCTGCATGATTACGCGCTAAAACTGTTCGTTGCTTACAAACTACGTACATCCATGTTCAGATTTAAATACATACTAATCGCATTTCTAACTCCTACGATATTTATATATATGTATATATATATATGTATATATATAGTATATATATTTATACGTATGTGTATATGTATGTCATGTAAAATTGGACGCTAAAAACAATTAACAAAAGCGACAAAAGCCTTACACATACATACAAGAACAACATAACCATAAAGTGCGCTCAAAAGTTGTACATAAGTAAATAAATTCACACATTAGGCATACATCAGTATATCTCTGTGTTACAGTGTAGGTGTGTGTGTGTGTGTGTGTGTGTGTGTTCGATTTTGTAGGTGTGTGACGTGTGTCTGTGTTATTCAGCTCATTTACTATATGTTTTTTTAGTTGTTTATAAATAAGGCCAGTGGATACGCATACATCATAAAAGTACATTAAATATTCTCATATTTAGCTGTTATATACAAATCTAGTTGTTATAAAAAGCGCTTGGGCATGACACTGCACATACTTGTATATACTTAGTGACAGTAAATAGCATATAGTATGTATTTGTATAAATTTAATTCAAAGGCGCGTCCTTCTAGTAGTCGCAATCTTTAGTGCACGCATATGTACTTATCTACGAGCTACTTGTGTAGGCCTGGTCGGCATGTCTGAACAATCGAGACTTTAATGCCCAATGCTTTGACATGCATATACTTGTATGTATGTAGTACATAGCATCATATTCGTATTCGTATTCGTATTCGCGATCTATCAATTTCATTACCATTTTCATTTCATTAGTAAGTTGTTTCAAAGTTTTCGGTATAAAAAATAGAAAAAATTTTGTGGCAATAAAACGTTTGTCTCAAATAATCATATTTAAAAAAGTACACACTTCTGTTTAGGTCAAGTTTGTATGTAAATTTCCCTCCCCCCTTATCCACCTGGCTTATAATTTCTTCTGCTTTTGTTTTTCCATCTTTTTTTTTTGTTTTTAATATGAAACACGATATGAACTGCTTAACATATTGTACATAGTATTGCATATTATTTGAAGTAAAATTTGTTCAAAAAATTACAAGTACTTTCTATAACTGCGATTTCTAGCGAGTTCCAAGCGAAGTAGGAGGAGCATGGGCTCGTGCTGATTGTAATTACTGGACCAGAATAATATCATAATCGTAATACAATGGCCATAATGTACAGTTTTGGAATAATATTGGATGTATCTCCTACCACATATGGCAATTATAGTATGGTTTATTTATATGCAAGGCTTGAGCAAAAATACAAATTCTTTGCAGTTTCAGTTTATTCTTTGGCATTTTACGAGTACACGTACATTTCCAATGGTATGGCGCTCTTCTTCTTGTTAGTATCTCTAAAGTCAACATTTACCTCAATCAGTTTCCCTCTATCCGATGTCTCAGACATCAGATATCAGATATCAATATCATTCACTTCATCTTGACTGAAACAGAACCGAAAACGATTTGCGATTGTGTTAAGGGATCGATGTGAATGGTCCTAAGCTTTTGTGCGGATGACGACGACCACACTAGCTGGGTGTTTGATTGGGAAGGTGACCTGAATATAGGCGCCGGTCTCGGGCGCTGATGTCCGCTGAGGCTGAATGTCGATCCTGACCGATGTGGGTGGCGAGCTCAGTTGGTTGCTTGTGCGTTTGGGTTTGTTACTATATGCGAGTCTTTTGGTTGGAGTTCGGCAGTCGCTGGGAGCATTACTAACAGTAGTTACCATACCATGGAAAGGTCCAGCACCATCAGTGCGGAAGCATGAGCGGTCGTGCTGTGCTGCTCAGTCTATGATGCGCCTGCGCCTTCTCGCCACCGTACTCATCGTAGGCCAGCAGCGGCGATATCTTCAGGCCAGTCTTCTCGGGGATTATCTTGAAATGCGGCTGTTCAGCGTTGACGATCAGGGGACGTTTCATCGAGTGCATGTAATCGGTATGAGAGGCCCCCAACGGTCTTCGTGTGCTCGGCATGTTCATCTTTTTGCACGGCTCGGGCTTGCTCTCATAGTTCATTTGACAGTTCTCGGGCGAGTATTTGTTGGGCTTGTAGATCGAGAATATGTTGTTGATCAGACTCAGAGCGGAGTGGCCGCCCGCAGAGGTGTGATGAATGCCGGCCGTGGGCTGTTGGGTGAGCACATTTCCCACGGTGTGCTCGGGATAGAAGTTGTTGTACTGATATGAGGGCAGCGTGTCGGCTGTTGGATACACCTTGTGGCCATATGCGGGTCCGTAGGAGGGGCGGTGCAGGGATGGGCCAGCACTTTCAAAAAAAGGAAAGCTACTCGCATTATTTGACGAGCCACTAGAGTCCAGTTGTGGCGGCGAGGGCATGCCCTCGAGCAGCGACTTCTTGATCATCAGGCGCTCGTGTTCCCGATCGTGGATATCGATGGGCTGGCCATTGTTATAGCAACGCACATTTACGTTTTTCACCTTTAGGTTGCTGTGCATGTTGCGGCGCTGCATGTCTATATTGATCGGACTTGGCGGCTTATCTAGCTCCTCCCAGTACTTCTCCAGGTCGATGTTGAAGTCCTCCAGATCAATTTCGGTTGTGTCGGAGCATGTGTCCTCGTCGTAGGGAAGTGGCGGCTGCACGTCCAGCAACGACTTGCTGCGTGCTGGCCGGCAGTAATTTGCTGCGTAGTGGCGTCTGGGACTTAAGCTCGAGGCCGCAGACAAGTATCGTTCGTCGTCGTCCAGGAACTTGTCTTGCAGCAACAGCCGCTCGCGTTCATCGCGTATGAAGTGATCCAGGTCGGTGTCGTAGTGGCAATGCATGTGCTCCTCCTCCTCAGCGGCAGGATGATGGCCTGGGCAGTGAACGCGCGTACGGGCTCGGGCCACATGGTGCTGCTGCTGGCGGTGGCAGCAATAGTCGTCAGCGGCACAGCAGCAGATCACCGCGGGCTGCAGCGGCGTCGGCGGTCGCACCAAGCGCTGCCCGCGCTCTCGGCTCGAGTGCAGCGAGTAGGCGGCGGGTGCAACTGCCGCTGCCACTGCTGTGCGGTGATCGGCGTGCTCGTCATACAGCCAGTCCGGGGACGTGCCCGTGGCGCGGTGGAGGTTCCTGTTGCTGCCACCGCTGGCGCCAGCACCATACATGCCCAGCTGCGACGGCACGGGGGTGCGTCGCCAGCCACGCTGCTCTGGATAGCTGGGATAGATGTCGTCGAGCAGGCACTTGGCACTGGTGCATTGGTCGCGGGCGCAACAGCTGTGCATCAGCGTTCGCTCGTCCAGGCTATTGCTGTACATCATGTTCATGCTTCGTCGGTAGGCCTCGCGTTTCTCGCGACGCGTGTTCACCGCCGGCGGTAGCTCGTAGTCAATAACGTCGAATGGCATTGTCTTTGTGGTCGCACTGAAGGAGTACGACTTGGGCACACCAGCGCGATTCTTCAGTATGGAAGTGGTGGGGGGAGGGGCGCCAGCGGCACTTGATGCGCCACCGCCAGCCTCGAACACGTTGCTTTCGAAACACCAGCTCTGTGATTTGGGATATTGAAACTCCTTGCAGCTCTTGGAGCGTTGCAGTCCGTAGCAGGGTGATCCTTCACCCTCGCCTCGACGTTCCCGTTGCACGGTGAACCCGGCATCGTCGGCATACTTTTCGTCCTGCTCGTTTATGTTGCGCAGTGTCCGATATGTGCCGTATTTGAGGCAATCGGGCACATAGTCTTCCTCCAGGTCGTCCGAGCGATTCGAGTAGATATTGTCTGTGTACCAGGTGGGGTCTAGCTGCTTCGGCTTTGGCTTGGCCTGCAACAATTTGTCCCTCTTGGACTGGCGGTAGCTCTCAAAACAAATGTTCTTCATTTTCTCCAGCTTCTGCTCACGTATCCGTTCCCAGTTCTCCCAGTTCTTGTCATTCTTGTTGCGCCCGGACAGAATCAGGACATCCTTGTCCCAGGCAAACTCGTCATTATAGTCAGTGTTCAAGCGCTTCTCCTCTGCGTCTAGGTTGCTATGTGATGAAGCGGGGCCGGTGCCAGGGGCAGCACTACTACTACCTAAATTACTATATCTGGCGCCGTCGCCAGTGCTATCGGTAACTACTATTCGAATTCTACGCTTTGTCTTGTCCGTAACTCTTGACGATAGTATCGATGACTTCTGCGGCTTGTCGCGCTCATCCGAGGGCGGGTCTTCTGGCTGTCACACCTCCTGCAAATATTTAATGGGGCAGTATCCCTGACGATTGTCAGCGGATCGCACCATGACCATGCCATTGACTTCGTCGCCCGTCTACTTGCCACAGCACAGATAGGAGAAGAAAAGAACAACACAATGACAAAAGACAATTACAAAAGATATATATTAAAGTAATTAAAACTAGCTTCGGTGGTTGAGTTGAAGCCCCACCTGTATGACAATTTGGTCCCGTAGTAGCGTCATGTTCTCTCCACGTTCTCCATCAGACACCTGCAGGTTGTGAGTAACTTGCAGAGGCTTCTCGTTAGCATTCAAGCGTACGCAGTATTTGGATGGGAAGAATCCAACACGCCCAAGCACCTTGCCCTTCCACCAATCAGGATCAGCCGTATCGATAACCGTCACCTATACGAGAAAGTACAAATTTAAAATGTGTGTGTGGAATCAGATATTTATTTGTTTGGCTCAGAGTGCTGAGCGTAGGCAAGCGTTAGATGCTCTATTAGAACTTGTAGCCTTTAGAAAAGTACGTGCTAATCACGTATAGTTAGAAATAGGCTGCGTTTGTGTGGGAGGTGGATAAAGTCACTTGCTGTGATTGATGATTACTTTATCACGACATTTGGTGATGTTAGTCGGCACAGTCTCTTACTTCAAGGGTCCTGTGCATCTTGGCAGCTTCATGGCATAAAGATGTATTTGTATTTGAAAAATTGTTCTTTTTACAGCTCGAATTTCTAAAGGAATAAATAAATCTCATTTATAAAAGCATTTGCCAATAAAAAGCTAATTCGCGCTGCTGCGCCTGTGGCGTATAGCTTATTAACAAGTTCAATACAAACAGACAACAAACTAACCCACCAAAGCCCGCAAGGTAAAATCAATCTAAGCATTGTGGACTGCATGCCAATTGCAAAGATTTTTCGGTATACCCTTCAAAAAGAGAGTCTCCAGCACTTGGGTGTGGAATTTGTAATGGCTTTGAAAAAACTGCAACTGATTAAATGCATTTCTATATTCCCGGACATTAGTATTTGTAGTCTGTTTTAAAAGTAGCCTATATGGTTTTTATTATTTTATCAAGATAAATATCTTATCTAGCTTTATTTATTATGGTCCTCATCCATCTATACTATACTATACTATTCTTGATCAGGGTGACAAGCCGAGTCGATATAGCCATGTCCGTCCGTCCGCCTGTCCGTCCGTCCGTCTGCATGAGCGCAAGGATCTCAGAAGGTACTAGACCTAGAATAACCAGGCCAAGTTTATTTTGTTATTCTGATACACCCCCCCACTCCCCCGCAATTCGTGTTTCTTCCATAACTCCCGTAGTTCTTGGAATTTCGAAATTAGGTAGCTAGATCCCGTTAGTAATTATGTGTCTGTATACCAAGTTTCATCATGATAGGTCAATTCTGAAGCCATAAATAAAATCGCTGCCCATGCTCTGCTTGTACCGCTGCCGTCAGCGCTGCCTGAAGCTGTTGTTGTTGAAACTTTACATGAATATGTCTTTAATTTAATTAAATAATTTCATTAATATACTTTTTTTTTAATTATTTAAAATTTTTTTTTTAATTTTTTCCTTTTTGGTGGGAGGTACAGGGTATTTAAGAGTTGAGCTTGCTCGACTTTAGCATTCTTTTCTTGTTATAATTATGGAATACCTGATAGCTGGTTGAGCTATGCTGGGCCCCCATCCTTCATATTTATATTCTGATCGTTCGTCCGTACGTCTGTCTGGATGAACCGCTGGATTTCATAAACGGCTGTGGCTACATTAACCAAACTTGGTATGTAGACTCATTTAATCTCTATACAACACGAGTCTATTTTATTTTTTTTGAATCTCTTCCCCCTCCCTTCCCGCGCTGTCAACATTTCCCAAAAGCTACAAAAACTAAACTTTGCTTACGTAATAAATATACTTGTACATACATATGTATAATTCGCAAATTTTATTAGAAATTTGATTCAGAATGTTATTTTCGTATAACCCTCACAAACAGCAGGAAGGGTTGCGCTCTTTTTTTCTTCTTCTATCTTGTTTTATTTGCAAGAATTTAAAAAACCACCGATGACAGCTATTCCAAGAAGTAAAGCATAAACGTCCAAAAAATATCTCAGTAAGGGTATATGTATGTCGATTTTTCTACGTATAGTTCTCGTAGTATATCATCTCGCTTTTGAAATGCCATGTGTACATTGCAAATGAATGAATGTTTTTATTCGTATTTATGTATTTATGTATTTATGTAGTAGACGCCCACACAATGGCCGCTTCCGCATTGTAGTATTTATCATTGTTTGATTTTGTCGAATAGCTTTCACATGGCTTTGTCTTTTGTTTTTATCGGGGCTGGAGTGAGCATAAATATAGAGATAGAAGTCCGTGGAGAGTGTGGGTTTTGCTGTTATTATTGTATATGGATATTAAACAAAGCGACTTGTTTACTCAGCATATGCACGTCTGCATAGCATACGAGTATTTGCATACGACGAGTGTCTGTTGTGGTTGGGAAGTGGCTTGACTAGATTTTATATACGTGTATGGACGAGAGTGTATGTATTTACCTTGTAGCCCGCCTTCAGGTCCAGCTCATCGGCATGGCGTGCCTTGAAATTGTAGAGGATGACGTACAAGTTGGTAGGGAGTAAGCGATGTGATTTCTTGATAAATTGAGAAAATAGTTTCATTAGAAATCATTGAGTGGCGTCTGGAATGTGAATTGTGAACGGATTGTGGGTGGAGAGGACCACAAGATGCTCAACAGCAAAAGAATAGTTCGTACAGCAAGGAAGTGGGAGTAACTGAAAGGGGGAATACCTGGGCATGTCTTACTGGAGAGAGGCACGGCGAAGTGCTGGCCGATGACTGCGATTTATCCATCTCGTCGGGTAGATCGACGCTGCCGCCGCGCATTCCACGTGTCGCATACAGCAGCTTCCGGCCCGGATGTGAGGGGCTCGACGGCGCTGTAATGGACGGATGTTGGAACGCTGCATTATCTGTTCAATCGTACGGAGATGATGCGGCAACATGACACGCACATTTTTTGCATGCAACATGGTCGATATTCATGTGGTGGTTATTTGAATGCAAAGATGATAGAAAATAACAATAGCATCAATAGAAGAGATACACATAAAGTTGAAAAGGAAGAACTGGGATATACTGGGGAGGGAGAAGCGTAGTAGAGGTGCAACGATCTTAATGGGGAGGTACTTCATGGCCTTAGTCAAAGCCAAAAATTGAATGTTTGCATTAAATCTTAATCGAACACGTTAAGTACTTATAATATTAGTTTTGTTTTGTAGGGCTGTTGTGAATTATTGACGAATTCAATGTGAAACTTTAACATTACTTTAAAATATTTTCAAAATTCTCTACTGAAATGAAGATGTTACTTTATTCTACACCGATGTTAGGCTACTACTTTAAATATCAACGTTTTGCAATGCTTTTTATATACGAGTATTTACAAAATAAGCGTTACTAGATCAAACAAACATTATGCATTTAGAGTGAATTGTGCTGGATGACTGTTGAAGTTGGAAATGTTGGGGAACTTGGCCTCATCTGCCTTGGATACTCTGTTGACCTCATCTATGTTGTTGGTGACCCCTATAGATACATAGGTACCAGTATACTTGTATGATGGCTTTAAGACTGTTAAGTTGGTGGGTGGGGTTACAATTAGGTGGTGTTGAAGATAAGACGTGCCCGTTTTGGGTTTTGAGAGTTAGGTTAGGTGCAGCACGGAGCATTTGTACGCAGGTAGTGGGTTACTACTTACAATGGAGGCGGCTGTTGTTCGATGGTGGAGTGCTGTGCTCGAGATGGCCTCCCGAACCGCCATGATAGTAGCCGGCCGATGTTGAGGCGCCTGTGATAGGCGGCTGGCGGCGTCTGAATTGACCGTGCAACTCCGAGGATTCGGGTGAGTCCAAGCTCAGGGATTTCATGCGTAAGTTCAACTTTTGACGTCGCGGTGAATGCGGTGCTGTTGTTGTTATTGTTGTTGTTCATGATGTTATTGTTATTCAAAATCGGGAATAACGTGTTTGGTTTGGTTGTTGTTGGTTGATGTGTGGTCGTGTTTGTTGTGGATTTTGCAGACGATGACGCAACATACACATTTGGATTTGGATTTCGATATCGAATTGGATTGGATTTTTTTTTGTTTTTTTTTTATTATTTGTATTTTTTAGAAAATAGCATAAAATATGAAAAAGAAATTTGTTTTAATTTCGATTGGCTCACAACTCATTAGCTAGGCAACTACATTCTAGAACAAAATCAAAATTTTAGCTTCTCGAGCTAAATCGGAAACGTAAAGGAAAAACTATAAACATTTAGTTCCTTTTGAACATTAGTCCTAAGGACAGAGATAGAAAGACATTTGCAAAAAGAGCAACACTGAACACAAGAAAGAGACAGCGTGTGCTGTTTTCTGTTTTCTGTGTGTGCGTGTGAGTGTGTGGGTGTGGGTGTGTGTGTGTGGGTCTCGAGTCCGGTTTGTGGTGTGTGGAGTGTAGAGTATTTAGAGTGAGTAGAGACTCTGTAGAATTTAGCGACCTCTTGGCCCAAGATCAATTGGCCTAATCAGCGTAGGTTTTGTCTAAATGGTAATTGATTGTAAGTAATTTGAAGATGTGAG